GGCGTCGCCGCCACCGCTCTCCCCTCGGCCGGGAGGAGCTACGGCTCCCAGGCGAAGGAAGAGGAGGAGCTGCGCGTCCGGTACCTGGATGATGAGCACAAAGGTAACGAGGGGAAGGTGGCTCTGCACCCGCTGTCCCGGCCTGGCCGGGGTGACCCCTGCGGGGCAGGGAGAGGGCGGCCCTGGGGGAGCTGCCCGGCGGCGAGGGGCGGGAAGGGAGCGGTGGCTCCTCCTTCTTGTCACCGCGGACGGGGTTGCGTCGCAGGGTGCTGGGAGCTGCCGGCATGGCAGTGGCAGAACTGGGTCAGTTTGGTTGCTTACCTCTTCACAGCATCGTAAAACGGTTTAGATTAGAAAGGACCTTGAATACTATCTGGTTCTAACTCCTCCGCCTTGGGCAGGGACACCTCGTACTAGACCAGATTTGCTTAGAGTCCCATCCAACCTGGCCTAGAACACCACCAGGAGTGGGGCATCCACAGCTTCTCTGGGAAACCTGTTCCAGTGCCTCACCACCCTCACAGTAAAGATTTTCTTCCTGTTATCTTTCAATTCGAGCCCATTCCACCATGTTGCAACATGCCCTTTTAAGTAGTCTTGCCTCATCTTTCAGGTAGGTTCTCTTGAGGTAATAGAAGGCTGCAATTAGGTCACTTTAAAGCCTTCTAATTTCTACACTGAATAGTACAAATTCTGTCAGCCTTTCTTTATAGGAGAGGTATTCCATTCTTCTCATCCTCCTGGTGGCCTCCTCTAGACTTGCTCCAACAGCTCCATGTCCCTCCTGTGCTGGGACCCCAGAGCTCGATGCAGGGTTCCAGGTGGGGTCTCACCAGAGCAGAGCAGAGGGACAGAGGGACAGAATCCCCTCCCTCCCCTGCTGCCCATGCTGCTTTGGATGCAGCCCAGGACACGTTTGGCTCTCTGGGCTGGGAGTGCCCATGGCTGGGTCATGTCCAGCCTCTCACCCAGCAGCACCCCCAAATCCTTCTCCGTAGGGCTGCTTTTGACCTGTTCATCCGCCAGCCTAGATTGATACTGGGGCTTGTCCTGACCCAGTTGAAGCACCTTGCACTTGGTCTTGTTAAAACTCATGAGCTTCCCTTGGGCCCACTTCAGGAGCATGTCTAGGATGCTGTGGATAGCATCCTGTCCCTGAGGTGTGTCAATAGCATCATTCTTCTTTACCAGAGTATTGCAGCATATGTACTGTGTTTGTGAAGTACATCTCTCTGAGCTGGCATCTGTTTGCCACTCTAATTGTGAGAAAATGAAGTTTAGCAGCTAACTTCTAGAGTCATGCTGCTTCAGACATCGGTTTTGTGTTTGTGTGCAGTGGGCAGAGAAGGGCATAGAACTTAGATCCATGATATCTGTGCTGGAAGGTATGGCTTCAGTATTCTCTCATTTCATGCCACTTTCCTAATAACCATCTCATACTCCTCCTTGCTTTTTGTGTTCTCTACTACTACTCACCTTGTTCTAGTCAACTATATCAAGAGTCTTATTTTAACTTACCAGCTTAAAAAAAGAAAGAAAATCTGTGCTCCTTAGTGATCTGCTGCCAGTGCATCATAGCACAGATGCTTTGTACTTCCTCTTCTCATGTACTGCTCACTGGATTTTGGAGGTGTTACACTTCCTTTGGTGTTTGTCACTTCCTTCCCCTGTGTATGCGTCAGGGCTTGGAATGGTGGAGAAGAAGTCAATGCAAACTCTGTTCCTGAGAATTTATTTTTATAGCCATGATGTTATAACTGTTTTCATGGAGAGGACCATAGTATAGGGTTTTGATTATCTGCAGCACATGAATCTTTTTATATGGAGAACGTATCTTGGAACCACCATGTATTGAGATGGACAGTTTAGTTTACATCTTTGAGCACATTAACTCAGCTATTTCAGACCTGCTGCCAATTCAGGCAAATGCCCATGAGTTGAGTATGCCTATACATAGATTTGTATACATATACAGACAGGTAGCTTTAAAACTTTGAGCTTCAGCATGAGGCTTAGAAGATTGGTCTTTTGTTTTCAAGGGAAAACTGATGTTGTGTTTGTCATTATTTAGGATTGATAGTAAAGATGATGTAATCTGATCTGATTTGTAATCATCTTCTTTTTTTGTACTTCTGTTTCCAACTCTTTCCACTTTGTTTAAAATGTGCTACTTCATTCCTGTTTTTCCAGCCAACTGTGGAACTTGGAATTAGTTTAAAACGCCTATTCAGATTTTCTGGGGATTATTTTAAATGAAGGAAGAGACAAGACAGGAGCAAAGAAGAACTTAAAATGTTAGAAGAGTGTTTTTCCTTTTTTTTTTTGTGCTTTACCATAAAGTGGTAGAAAATATCATGATCTTACATAGTACTGAATTTTTATTTCTATTACATAACAAACATTAAATTAGGCAGTGTGTTCCAGCTGTTAAGTCAGCTAGGAATCATTGTTTTTGTAATGTTATGAAGGTGTTTCATAATGAATATGTAGCCTAATGCCCCAAAATATGGAGATATTATTTGTAATGTTAAAGCAACTGTCACTATCATGAGGAAGGATTCAATAAGTGTATTTTTAATTAATGAATTCTCTTAAGCAGAAGGAATTTTCTTTGGTATTGACTTCCAGAAGGACATAGAAAAAAATGCTATTAATTATAAAAGGATAAGAACAAGGGCATAGAAATAGGCCAGGAGACATAAACTTCATATGCTGTCTTCAGCGGCACAAAGAACAGGCAACATTTCTGCAAAAGAAACATAGCTCTGCTTTCTCCCTGTAGTGCTACCCTGCTCCTCATCTTGTACGCCAAGTTCATCTATATTTATCTTACAGCATGTAATATCTCTGCTGAATGAGGACACCAGCTCTATAAACACCCCTGTGGTCCTGCTCTTTTCTACCCTGCTATTGCTTGATCTGCCATTTCATGTTCTAGACGTTCCCACATGGTACTCTGATGCCTCCGTGGCCTCATCACACCATCCCATTAAATATTTCTTGATTCCATGCAGGATCAGACCCTGTTCTCTGACTACCTTTTATGGCACACATATGCTTGTTGATGCTGTGGTTGTGCACTTGCACATGCCTAGTGTTTCCATGTTGCTCAGAGAAGGATGTGTTGTGAATGCTGGGGAGGAAAGAAAACTGGCTGTACCTGCCTCACATACAGGCACATGTCTTGTAGCACTGGACAAATCTTTGCCTGTAGGCAAAGTAGCAAACTGTTCTGCTTCATATCATTTCCATGTGATTTGCATACCCCAGATCTTGGGAAGTTGTTAAATGTGAACTGAGACTATATTTGCAAAAACTAGTTATTGAAATTTTAACTCAAGGCTTTCCAGCTTCCAGATTTGACCTGAACTTCTTAGAATACAAAAGGTGTGAGATTTTTATAGAATGTGGTTGAAAAATACCTGTGTGTTCTGCCCATGTTGCAACTTATGAAGCTCTTAGTGTCAGTTTTCTCTGAGTAAAGATGACTGTCAGTGTGTTTTTTTTTTTAATTAAGTATATATCTTTTACTTTATTCGAGATTCTATTTGATCATCACTAGGGCTGAAATGTATTACAGCTATTGACCTTTCAGAACTTAGCCAAATTGCATTAGTGATCCCATTACAAATTTAAATGAACCTAGTGCTTTGGATTTTTAAGTTAGAGGTGCAATTGGGAGAAATATCTTTTTAGTATTGACTCCAGTGTTGCAGTGTCACTTGCTGGAATGGGATATAAATATTTATAAAATTTGGATTTTTCACTTGAATGGTTCCTTATGATCAAATTTCCCAGCTGGTTTTGGTTCAGTTTAGAGTAAGACAGCTTTTGGTCTTCATCAGTTAGAATTTTAATGTACATGGAATAGGCAAAAGCAAATGTAGTCTTGGTTGAAGTTGTTTGCTCAGAGGCTGGAAACTGATAGCTAGCTGATAAATTGGAAAAACTTCCCATTCTTTCGCTGTGTTTAAAGCAGGGCTGAGCAGGAGAGATCTACTAATTTAAGAAGTGTGGAAAAGAGTTAAATCAGAATTTAGAGATGAAATAGGCTCAGTTAGGGGATTTTGAAGAATGTTTTGGTGTTTTTAAAAAGTGCTGGTTAGTACACATCTATGTGATTTTTCACTTACATACTTCTTGATAAGATGATTAATGAATGCCACCAGAATTGTTCATGATACATTCACCATATGTTCCTGTTTTGCTTAGAAAGCTACTTTAGAATAATAAACATCTAAGTACATTTGTATGCCTTGTTTTTCTGAGTAGTTAAGTGAAACAAGCTTAAAAATAACTTGCTTTGATCCTCCTTCAGTTTTTCAAAGCATAATTCAGACATTAATTCAGAAAAATTAATTTATTTTAATTATGGAAATCAATATGTATGTGGGTTTAATGCAAATAAATAATAAAATAAATACAAACAAAAGTCTGCAAGTACTTTATATGTGAATGTAGCGAATCTTTCGAACTCTGACAAAATGATTAATATTGGTTTAAAGACAAGATTAATTTTTAAGTAATCATACATTGAGGATGAATGTTTTGATCTCTAAAAAGTGCAAGATAAAAGTGATAAAAACCATTTTTAAAAGGTAGATTTCCTGTTTGGTGATACAAACAGTAGGCAAACTAGTATCTAATCTCTTCACTTTATTCAAGTAATAAATTCAGTATATGCTATGTATCCTTATTTCAGTAAAAGGCATTTTTTTGCTTTTACTATGCTTTCATTTTATGACATAACTTTCATTTTTATCATATAACTTTTATAATAAAACTTTTTTTTTTCTTCTCTTAAACACTTAGAATTATACCACAGTCAGCTTTCTCTTTTGATAGAATAACTTATAAGTAGAGAACATATTGTACATTTACTTATGGTTTGCCTTTAATGGTTGGCTATGTAGTATACAGTAATACTGCTACTTATATTAGACAACACAGGGGATCATTGTCTCTTGGAGCGCCCAGCCAGTTAAGAGGAGTTTAGTTTTCTGTATGCAGATGTATTTTTAATAGATGCACATTATGTGCTGAATGTGTCCCAGAAATAATGTGGGGATGACTCCCAGGAAAAAGTATGACATTAATATTGTGTTTAGCATTACGTGAGTGCTTATTCCTTCTTAGTAGATCTGTCATGTTTTTGATACCATTCAGATAGACCAACAAAGTTGGTGTACTAGTACTAGTACTAATTTCTACTTTATTAATGATTACTTTATTAATAGTTACTTTTCATTATCTTTTCTTTCACAAGTAGATTTTTCAAACAGTAAACGATTTTGGAAAGCACATTTATATGTGTGTGCATTAGGCAGAAGGAACCATGATTAAATGCTTCAGATAACAATGTAACAGATATTACTGAAAAGTTGCTGCAGTCAGGTCAAGTCCCCTGTGACTGGAAAAGGGGAAACATTGTACCCACCTTTAAAAGAGGCTGAAAGCTGGAGCCTGAGAGCTACTGACCCATGAGCCGCACCTCGGTGCTTGGAAGAGTCATGGAACAGGTCCTCCCGGAAAGCTGTGTTCAGGCATATGGAAAACAGGGAGGTGATTCAAGGCAGTCAGCACAGCTTCACCAAGGACAAGTCCTGCCTGACCAACCCAGTGGCCTTGAATGATGGAATGATCTTGTTAGTGGACAAGGGGAGGGTTGAGATGTCATTAATCTGGACTTCTGGGAAGCTTTTTGCAGAGTATACCACAGCATCTATGCTTCTAAAGTGGAGAGAGGTGGATTTGCTGGATGGACTGTTCAGTGGATGAGAAGCTGGTTGGATGGTGGCATCCAGAGTGTGGTGGTCAATGGCTCAGGGTCCTGATGGACATCAGTGACAAGTGGTGTACCTTAGGGGTCTATATGGGGTTGACTGTGATTTAGTGACTTCACTGATGACATAGATGAAGGGATTGGTTCACCTTCAGCAAATATTTAGATGACACCAAGCTGGCTGGTGCAGTTGACACATCTGAAGGACTGAATGCCATCCAGAGGGACCTGGATGAGTTCCTGAAGTGCCCCATGGGAAGCTCATGAAATTTAACAAGACCAAATACAAGATGCTGCAACTGAGTTGAGGCAAATACCAGTTGACGCTGGTATCAGCATCCCCAGCACACGCTGGGGATGAGCAGATGGAGAGCAGCCCTGTGAGAAGGCCCTGGGGGTGCTGGTGGGTGAGAGGCTGGACATGACCCAGCCATGGGCACTCCCAGCCCGGAGAGCCAAACGTGTCCTGGGCTGCATCCAAAGCAGCGTGGGCAGCAGGGGAGGGAGGGGATTCTGTCCCCCTGCATCCAGCTCTGGGGTACCAGCATAGGAAGGACGTGGAGCTGTTGGAGTGAGTCTAGAGGAGGCCATGAACCTGATCAAAGGGATGGAGTACCTTCTTTCCTGTGAAAAAAGTCTGAGGGAATTGGGATTGCTCATCCTGAACATTAGGCTTCGGGGTGGCCTATTGTGACATTCCATTTTCTGAAGGGAAAAACATAAAGACTAAGAAATATAGAGAGGGACTTTAAACTGAAATAAAGCAGGTTTAGTTTAGATATTAGGAAGAAATTCTTTACTCTTAGGGACTGAAACTAATTGCCCACAGAAGCTGTGGATACCCCATCACTGGAGGTGTTTAAGGCTAGGCTGGATTCGCATCTGGACAACCTGGTCTAGTGCAAGGTGTTCCTGCAGGGGGCTTGGAACTAGATGATCTTCAAGGCCCCTTTCTTTCTCAGGATGCTCAGATCTAGTAGTAATGGCATATCAGAACAAAAACGATTAAAATGTGACTATAAAGAATGTCTTTTTGTATATCTATCACTGCAGTATGTAGGTATCCCTTGAAAACTTTTTATACTTTTCCTCTTGCAATCCTTGCTTCATATTTTTTTTATACTTAAATGAAAATTACTGGGTGAGTGCTATCTTTATCTTTTAGTTCTGTAGAAGGAAGCAGAAGTGGTAGTTTTATGACTTGATACGATGCTCCTAAGCAAAAATTGACTTGTATGATTTGTCTTCAAGGATCATTGCTTTGTAGGAAAATATTTTAAGTGCTTTAATGTTAACTAGATTTTCCTTCTGAATACACTACTGGTGGTGGTGGAGTAGCAGTCTTTGAGCTTCAGTGGGGAGAAGAAAAATTCAAGTGTCATTAAGTGTCATTGCCATTAAGTATAATATGCTTCTGAAAAGGACTCTGTTTCCTGACTGAAGTATGGTTTGGGATAATAGCATCTCTAGTTTATTCAAGCGTGGGATTTGTAGTGCCTGAAAATCAAAGTGAAGTCAGGGTGAAGGGTCTTTTTGTTGCTTTAACATGCAATGATGCTTTTTCCTAATCTACTTGTGTTGAACATATGGAGTACTTGAATTTGGAGTGATCCTCCTCCTGGAGAAGAAATTGTAACAGCTGAAGAAAAGTGCTACAGCACTACTCCTTTCTGATAACAGAACATAAACAGATTCCTATGTAAGTGCTGAGTAACAACCTTTACAGGCAGTCCTGTATGAATATCTTCAGCCATAGGGATAAACATGAGAATTCAGGCCTGTAGATCAAGGGAATGAAGTTGATTTGGGTTGACCTGGCTCCACCCCTCTTTTAGAAGGTATCTATACTTAGCAATTGACTGTACCTTAAGAGCAAGGAATGTGTGCTTTATTACTTGCAATTGACACTATTTTTATTTGAATCTTGAGATTACAAGGAAGGCTACAAGAGCAAGATTATGTATAGGTTGTACGTTCAAAGCTGAGTGGTGAAGTAGTAATCACCTGGGGAAACACTGAGTTTCTGGAATTTTGTTTTTTCATATCATAGGTTGATAACAATACTGTGGGCTTTTTTGAGACAGAGCTCCCTTTCTGCCTTTCATTCCTGGTCCTGCCCTAGTCCTTTTTTTCTCTTTATCCTTGCATTCTCTGCATAAAAGGTCCTGATTGATAAAATGTTACCAGGGTAGGAGCAGGACTGTGTGCTGGTGTTTTGACCTCAGGCAGTAATTGTCTAAAAGATTGTTATAGTTGTGGTAAGCTTAGGCATTTGGTCTATTACCATGACAGACTTTTCAGAATTTTCCTCTTTGATAATCATGCCTGTGTGTGGTGGGATGGGGGGAAAAATTAAGACAATTTTTGTTTCTGCCGCAACATTCAAACCAGTGCACAGGTAGTCAGTCATAAAATCTATCTGTGACTGGACTAAAGGATCTGTGAATGTGTCTGTGGAGCCATGTACCAAGCATCAAGCTTGATTTGTGTGTTTCAGGGGAGGATTTTTGTTTGATTTTGCTCCTTTTTAAACAAAAGTACATTTTTCCCATTGGGGCATTCTTTCTATGTTTATGACTTCCTTTTACCTGTATTGGAGTTGCTGGTCTTTGCTCTGGTAGCACGTCATACTTTAAGAAGTCCCTGTAGATAGGCTCTCTAAATATGGAAATATGTGCTTTACAGTTAACTGTCTTTCCTGACTGTATGTCAGCACTTCATGCACAAACATGAAATTTGTGCATGCAGTTGTGTAATTCTACATTCAACCTTTGTAAGCACTGTTTCCACATGAGGATGTTAGGGCCATATTTTTGTTCTTAAAGTAAGTGTAATTTCTTTTGAGTATTGAAAAGACTAAGTCAGTTTATTTTCTTTGAGAAATTCAGTAGTGATTACACTACCATTTTTTTTTCAGTCCTCAATGCCTTATGTATAATTTTAAAATAACAATAATTTACATAAATGATACATATTTCACTACATTGTAACAATGATGTGATCCTTCTTCCCCTCCAGGAATTGTGGTGCTTGGATTAAACAGATCTCATGCCAAGAATGCACTTAGCAAAAATCTTGTAAAAATGGTAAGTGAAAAGAATAGTTTTTAGCAAAAAGGTGAAGTATTAGAATGAAGCACTTTAAAAAGTGTTTGGTTATTCCCCTTCCTCCTTTTTTCTGTAGATGTCAAAAGCTGTGGATGCTTTGAAATCTGATAAGAAAGTACGAACTGTTGTATTCCGGAGTGAAGTCCCAGGGATATTCTGCGCTGGTATGCAAACTTAATTTTCCTGAGAAGGTGGTAAAAAAAAAAAAAAAAAAAAAAAAAAAAGGCCCAGATTCCAAGGAAACATGTCTTTTTCATATATTCATCTCAGTAACAATCAATACATTTTTGAATTATTTTCTGCAATCAAAAGAATCAAATATTGGATCTATTCTTTCTGTGTCATAAAGTATTTCAAAATATATAATAGTTTAACCATGATGGTGAAAAATAATTTAATTGATCTAGAAGCTCTTGGAAGTATGTGCGAATAAGATGCAAACAATTTTAGAGGCCATAAAAACAGGCTTTGTAGAAAGCTGTATCCAACCTCTATTATAAATGTATTAACTTGAACTTTTAATTAAAGAAACATATGTCAACTTAAAATTTCATGGTGAATATGCATGTTACTGCAGGCTGAATGTATTCTCAAATTAAAAACAAATCAAAACAAAAAGCACACACCGCAGCCCACATATCCAACAGCTCTCAATTACCAGATGCTGGGAAACAGAATTTGCTGACATGTCAAGATCAATTCATACAGCAGTATCTTTTATGAATATCAAGTGAATAGTCTTCTTATTTAAAAAAGTTTTAACCAGTTCTTACTTTATTCAAATTTAATTTACATCCATTTGAAACGGGAAACAGAAATAAAATAGTTTGTTCTTTCTAATGCATTAATAGAACTGTCAAGAAAGAGGAGATCAGTTCTGAAATTTTACTTTTCTGATCACTTATGTAGTTGTTATTCCTGATAGTCCCAAATAACATAATTAGTTTAGTTTTAAATGTAAAATAGTTTTTCCAGTTTTTGAAATATGTAACATACTTAAGCACTTTTATTTGAACTTAAATCTTATTTTGTTGCTTTTAGTAAGCCTGTTCTCATGCAGATGTAGTTTGTCATTTACAAGACTTGTGAAAATAATTGTCTTGGAAAAAAGGTACTTAGTAATACATATAAATAGGTTAAATGTGTATGTATTAATCAGCGTATGTAATTTAAAAGTTATATCTTGTTTTAAATCAAGAAGTTTTAAATTTTAGTCATCTCAGAAAAAAACTGTATGTTTCAAACTGATGAAGAATGAAGCCTCAGAGCAACACATGCAAATGATGTTTCAAGTTAAATGTTATGCACTTGAAATAAAAAGATGTCTGTTGGGTTTTTTTAACGATGTTTTTTATTTGGCATTCTTGAATTTTGTAGTAGTGGTATATTGGAAATAGGAGAGCAGAAATACTGATTCAGAGGGAAAGTATCTTATCTCAGGCATGCTATTGTTATTGTACTTATGACCTCCTAGGACATTTCCAGTATTCTTTGTTAGCTGTCTCTTCTGAGCTGTTTTGGTATAAAGACTTAATGTAGTCATTGCTGCTTGTTTGTCTGCTTAGAAAATCAAGCAATTCAGAGAATGAATTTAACACATAACAATAGAGAAGATACAAGGACGTTAAGAAGGAAAATTAGTCCTGAAAAGAAGACTGAAAGACAAGGGCTGTGTATCTATGTCTGGATCTTAACCCAGGGAATAGAGATACAGTGTGAGCTAGGTGTGTGTAATTTTAAAAAAGTGGTGGGTGAAACAAGAGTCCTAAGAAAGGAGATTCTGTAGCCAAGCAGTGAAATAAAGGATGTTCCAACTGTGGTAACTGAAATTTAAAATGAAACAGAATACTTGAGGCAGAGTTTGTTAATGAAAATAGGTAAAAATTGCACGGTGGATGGATGGATTGCTTCAGCAGGTGACTTTAATGGGTGTCTCTAAGGAGAACAATAATGGAGGAAGCATAGTGAGATCTGGAAAAAAAGGTTAAAAGTTTAGGGAAGGAAGATGAAGAGAGGAACATACTGGATGTAAGAAGGCAGTTTCTGGAGGGGACTCAGGAAATTCAGTAGAACAGAAGAAAGTGTTTTCAAACTTAAATGTTAAAGGAGAATATGTTGCTTCAAGAACATTTAATTTCCTTAAAAAATGTGAGGATCATCTTGTGAAATGTCACAATTTTCTTATGCCTTATAGTGCTGTTTAGTTAGGCTAAAACTGTTTTTATTTTTTTTTTGTATTTCCTCAATAATGTTTTCTTGCTAATATGTGTGGAAATGTATGTTTTTAAAAAAATACACTTTTATGATTATTTCTTGGATCACCATCTGATGTTTTACAGACTGCATGTTGGGAAACTTTGTCCCAGAATGTAGTTCCCTTTTATGTGTGGAATGAAGTCCAAGATCATTAAATCGTGCCATTCCTTAGCTATCAACAAATATCTGTGCAAGCCACAAGCCAAGTGTCTTGTTTCCTTCTAAGGCCTAGGCCACAAAACATGACGTCTAATCATTTTTCTCAAAGTAGCAGTGGTGTGGATGATTAAAATATTTAAACTCTGTTGATGACTGATATAGATTTGGGTATGATTTCAAATTATGGTATTTTCGCATGGTGAAATCGGAGAGGGACAAAAATGGAATTGTATGAAAGAATGTAGAGATGTGCCAGAAATCATATCCTTTCTGCATAAATAATTTCTGCATAAAAATTCACTATGAGTCTTTACCTACTCTTTTCTTTGTGTCTCCTTTTTAATATTTCATACATCTGTGGGTGTAGAAAGTTCCTAATTTATGCTCTAGCCCTGATCAAAAGGGGCACCCAGAAGTCAAAGCCTTGAATATCTGGGGTTAAGGATGTCTATGATTATGTATAGACTATGTCTATGAGGGCTTCTTATGCTTCCATTAGAAAAGCTCTGGCACCGAGTCACTTCTTGGCTCTTTTCTACATCTGAAACCAAATAAGTAAAGTATTGGCCTTTCTGGAGTGAACATGTATGACCAGTCCTGGCCTACGTAAGTCGAGGCTTTGTACTTGCACCATTCTGCAGCCAAATCAGATGAGTCTGTACAGGAATCTTTTTATTTTCTGACAATTCTTGAGGAAGGCATAGGCTTATGCATGGAATAAGGCAGGTATCCCCTGGGTAAAATGTCCGTGATCAAGTAATCATAGGCTGTGCTGTGTTCACACAAGGGATCAAATTACATTCACATAGGCAGTTTGAATAACTTGATTTTTCATTATTAATATAATTTTAACATATGTATATTAGTGATATTGCTGGGGTACTTTTTGTGAGCAGATTTTTTTTCATCTTCTAAATATTTTAAGTAAGTGTGCATAATAGTGTTGGGTGGTATGGTACTGTTCGGAAGAGAGAAGGCAGTAGTTGTTGCCACAAGTTGTTGCAAAATCTGATTTTGTGTCAGTGTGTTTGCAGAATGGATAAGGTTGGAGGAGGCTACAGTGAGGTCATCTGGTCTAACCTCACTGCTTAATCAGGGTCATTCTGGAGACAATCTTAGAGCTTCTTCTGATTTTAACTACATGAGGTAGAAAAAATGGTACAAATAAAATACGTTGTTTAAGAGTACTTTTTTTGGTTTTCAGAGAGTATTTGAGAATGGCTTTGGTCCAAAGAATCGAACAAGCTAATATTGCACCTTAAAGATTTTGTTGTTCAATTTTCTAAAGTTTTGACAAAAAGCTAAGATAATACTTACAGAACTTCTAGTTATTATAGAATTTTACCTTTGGATGTGTTTTGGCTGAAGCTAAAGACTGCTGCATGATTCTAGGTGTCCTGCTTTCTATTTTTTCCCATTTCACCTACTCTTGTCAGTGTGTTTGATGATGTGAAAAAGAGATTATGTTGTATTTTGCAATTGAAAACTATGGGATCAGGTAATGGTCTTTCTTTTTTAAACAGTTTTATGTGTTGATGGTTATAGTGATTAAAGAAACAGATTCTGATTATATTATTTTCCTTTTACCTTTTTGCTTACCGTTCCTTGTATTGTTGTTATTCTTGGTACTGTCATGTTCCACCAGGCCTCTTTTCATGTCCTCTCAAGAAGGCATTAAAAAACCATATTATTCATGTATTTGTCTCAGGTAGTAACTTACTGACCCATAGTCCATTGTTTCAGTTTGCAGCTCATGCTAAGAAATGAAACCCTTTGCTACTGTTTTACCATTCAGAGTAGTATCCCTGGTGCCTGAAAAACCAGGACAGTTGCTTAACTCTTACTGTCCAAGTCCAGTCAGAGATAGTTTCTCTTAAAAATGGACATGTGAATTGTTAGTTTCCCTGCATCCATACCTACCCTGTTGATATGCAGAAAAAAATCCTACTATCTCATAAAGGAGAAAAGAATCAGAGGAAGACAATGCTTCTGGATTTTGATTTGCATGGGAGAGCTAGGAGAGCTTTCTGTTGTAACTTGTAAATTTTTGAGACTTTTGTGGTGACTATGTTTAGAGTCTAAGTGTTTAGAACAGTCTCTCTTCAGTATTGTTTTTTCAAAGTGAGCTGGAGTATATGAAATAGAGGTTGTGAGGTTGATGTGTTATTTGCTTTGTATATGTGTGCATACAAAGACAGCAAGCTGTGGAACAATTTTTACTTGACATATTTGAAAAATGTTCTTTGGAGACCTTATTTTAAAAATTTTTGACACGTATCAGAATATAGACAGTTCACTTTTTGCTGTTGTTGTTGTAACAGGCTTTCAAGACAGCTTGAAAAATTTTGGTATTTGAGCTCTTTAAACCACTTTGACCTAAATGTTACTGCAGCTTGGCCAATAAAGTCCCTTCTTGGAAAAGCAGAAGAAATCTCTGTGCCAGAAAAAATTCACTATTTCAATCTGTAGTGTGAGTAAAGCCAACCCAAATGCTTTTCCTCTTGGCATAATTTGTCTGCATCAGAACAAATTTTTTTTCCAACAGGGTTGTTTCCAGCAGGGTTGAATTGGCTATTTGGAGTCTAATTCCTGGCTGCCACTTCCAGCTGGTGCAGTTTTTCTAGCAGAAGTTTATGAAGCAGATAAGCCTGGTAGAGCAGATCCTTGAAGTCTTCTTTGTTTATGAAGTTTCGATATGGAGGAGTAGAGGAGTTTCATAATTGCTCTCAAATACTTGACCTACTCTTAT